GGCTCTGTCGAGGCCTGGCCTAGTTTCTGCCCTCACCGGGGAGCGGGAGGATCCAAGGACTGATGCTGATCACCTGACAGCAGCCCCACTGCTTCAAGAGAGTGTGTACGCACATGTCTGTGTGTGAGAAAGAAAAAAGTCAGGAAAGAGAGGACGCAAGTGCTTGTTTTTTTTATTTTTTTATTTATTTCAGGTTTCTGTCTCTGAATAATTTTGGAAGTTCTCAGAGATGGTGTCATGTGAAGTGTTGACAAGCGGTAGATATTTTCCCACTTTTCCTTTCCATGATATTCTGTCAAAAGAGCTGTAATATTGTTCCTCTACAAAAAAGAATGACTGTAAAAGCGCTTTCATGCAAACCTCGTTCAGATTTCGAGGCCATGTTTGGGGCTGCTGTGATATTGTTGTGATGAAAAGAGCACTATGTCTAATTTGAGCCCTCATGGTCCTACACCTGGATGTGCTGCACCTGGACTTTCTCATCCCTCCGCTTCCTGTTGTGCTACCACATTTAGTCCAACTTCACAATTCATTGCGCCATCAGAAAGTGAGTATGTGCTCTATAACAACATCAGCTGACCCTGGATCATCTGTTCCCTTATATATTTACTGGTATATAGAAACAGGTGTTTTTTTGTTTGATTTATGTTCATACGTGGATGTAAAATAAAAATTAAGTCATAATTTATCCAAGCTGTGAGCTTGCAATTTTACTAATTTTATTGCAAGTACAATTAAAGAACCTTTTATAGAGATATGTATATACAGTACAAATCGTTTAGTCTTTCTAGTCTTTTTTAGAATGTTTGTGTCTACTGCTTACTGTTAAATAATGGCAAAACAAAACCTATTTCTATTGGATTGTCTGCAATGGCTGCAATAAAATGCCAAAAAATGTGATCCATTAAAAAAGTATTTGAGGGCAACAAAGCATAATATACGTAATCAATGCCAGTTCACTGCAGCCACAGATTGTACAATGGTTTATTTTAGCTCAGACCCAGGATTTGGTTGTTGGTGTGCAACCGAATTCAAAAGACCGCTTTCACACTAATCCAGTAAACAATTTTACACTGCACACAAGCACTTACAAGCTGTTAGGTTAAGGATTCCATAGGTTGGTGCTCTCATAACTGCACGAAATATAACACAGACTTGTGAGTGCATTATAAGAACCGTGGTCCATCGTTCAGGCACACGGTGTTGGCTGACCCACTGAGGCGCTATAAATAGCAGTCATCAATATCTTCTTCTCAACCTCCTCACGTTCCCAATCCACACAGGACGGCTCCTCTAATGGCATTAAATTTTCAAAAGAGCTGAGTCCACTGCGCCTCTCCGTGCCCACATCCGCCCAACAGGAGAGCAAAGGAGAGAGCGATGGAACGAGACGAAAGAGTCACAGTGAAAGAACGAAAGACTCAGACGTGGTCGAATGTGGTTTAAAACTGAATATGCACGTTTTTAAAAATGGAGATTGAATGTAGGCTGTGGAGAGATGGGGACATGTAGATGTGGTCGGTGTCCATATAGACTAATTCTCGAATTTGTTTAACTTAAAATGATGCATCTGTTAAATGGGTAGCAATGAATGTGTTATGTCAGGGAATCGGTCACAATAAGCTTGTGTTTCATTGTGAAGCAGACACAATTAAGTATTTCTAGTGGTTGTGGTGGTATCCCTTGTCTGTATTTGTGGTAAATCTGCTGCCTGAGACATATTATTTCCTGGATGTCAGACCAAAACACTATCTGTGTGAACCCAGTATTCTAATAGTAACATTAGCGGGCAGGTTTGTTTACGGTCCGACAAATACATTAATGGGCCACAAATGTAAAAACAATTTTTTTTTACTTTGTGCTACGTCATCACCCACTTTCGTTACCTTATTGTTTCTTCTCTATGCCCCGCCTTTCTGAAATGCGTACATTTTTACAAAGCTCATCGTCTTTGATGATCGCTGGACACATCAGAATATTTGGGTTGAACTGTTCTGGAACGGTGTTGTAAATACAACTTAACCACTGATTTCTAGTCGTATCCTCTTTTGGAAGGCCAAACAAAGTAGTTTCGCTTTCACAACAAAACACAGCATCACACGGCGGCCTAGAGTGAGCGGCGGCCGGTGGGCTTGAGAACGGCGCAGAGGGCGGGCTTGCGGCAACCGCGTGACGACCCCGGGCTGGACTCCGCTTCATCCACGGTGAAAAATTGAAATCGCATCATATGACCCCTTTAATGATGTGGTTATTTCAGGGTACAGTTTGCTTTGTACATTCTGTGCAATGGCATAAAGTTAAAGTAAATTTCATCATTAAACTGAACTGTGCACATGCGGTTTAGACATGTTATGCTCTTGCTCCAACCATGCGTTAAATGTATGTTCTTCAATGAACGTTTTTTTTTTCGTGTTCACTGCTTATCTATGGGCTAATTAGAATCGTTTCCATCGATTCCGATTGCTTGTTCTCCAATAGCTTCCCAAAAAAAAATCAGAATCAAACAACCGTAGCACTGGCCTCAAATACCTGAATGAGCGGCCATTAAATACCATTCATGTTCAGGGAATAACTGACCTAAGAATGTCCCGACTGACCAATCATAATCAAGCATTTCTGAGAGCGGTGTAATTGATAATTTAAGATTCTCTAATATTGTTCATTATGGTACCAAACCGATGTACAGTGGTTTTGGTCATACTGCCCTCTCCAAACTGAGTTGTCCTATATTGCCAATACTTTGGGGCCGAGAGCAGGATTGTAGAGAGCAGGTGATCTGAACGGCCCGTCCAGCTCCCGCTGTGGGTCAGGCCGAGGGGCCCGCGTTCTCTCACTTTCATCATCGTCCGTCTGTGCTGTTAAACGGCTCGGCCACACCGCCCCACCGTGAAGGGGTTTCCACCCGGCTCTGCAGCCACCGCCGATCCTTCTGCTGTCGAGGATAATTAGGATCCGCCACCCGGGAGAGATCGAACTTCAAAAAAAGCGAGGGAATTTACAGACATCCAGAACGCCGCGCTTTAAGACCCTTAACCAGCAGATTAAAGGCGGCACTTAGCGGACCGATATATATGGTTTTTTTATCCACATGTTCAAACAAGAAGCACCAACTTGAGGGAGAATCATTAATGACCGTGATTAAACAGGCACTTAAGAGCAAAGAGCGTAGGGAGGAGGAAAAAAGGCAAGAGGAATGAAATGGATCTCTCATGTGCTCTCTGGGTTAAGGGTGGGGGAGGACGGGCCCCGGTCTTCGGCTGGGTTGCTAGGGCAATCCGAAGATGTGAGTCGTGATTAGGCAGAAGGCGGGTGAAGCGAGGCGAGGCAGGCCGTTAAACGGTGTGGGATTAGCGGCGGCGAGGCACAGGTATGCCGCAGCGTGCCGGTGAGTCGACATGCACGCCGTGTGCTGTCTGGGGCTTAGCGCTTTTAATCTTGCGCACAGAGAGACGGAAAGGAAACGAGGAGAACAGGAGGGAACATAATTGTCGAAATATCAACAGATAGTTTTCTCTGCTCCAGCAGAGTGTCGCCACGCGCTCTCAGATATAGGTGTGATTGAGTTCAGCCCACAAACACACGATAATGACATTTTTCCCCCCGCGCTCCGTCTCTGAAACGCTATGGTAATGTGGCTCCAAACGATTCCTCCTTTTTATGTGGAAAATAAATTACCTTCATTCTTGTATTTTCCTTTGTGCTTATACGATCCTTTCTTTTACTCCCTTTCATTTTGCGACACCCGCGCGGTCGCAGACAGGTGCCCGTCTCAAAGCAGCACTCCTGGGCGTGAGTGACAGGTGCTGCTGGGTTATGCTTTTTCATGATGCTGGATCTGAGCCGTGGGGAAGTGCTGTTTAATGCCAGGTTATCTCTCCGCTCCGTAACGTGTAGCTCATGCCGCATGCGTCATCTTTCATTTAGGACCTAGTAACGTTACCGCTAACGCGCCCATTTGCGTCTATCAGTCAACATCTAACCCCAGCCAGCCCTGTTTTACAGCCAGATCTGGGCGAAATCTGCCGTTTCGCATTTTCAGTGCTGGTTTTTGTGATAAAACTGGTGGCTACACTCTTACTGGCATATATATTTTTTAAATTGACTAGTCGCACAGTGAGTTGAACACCTGGTTGACTGATCTTTCTTAACTAGAAGTATGTATAATAAATTAGTAGGCTGGTTTGGCTTCACCTGTCTCTGTTTTTCTTACACAAGGCACGTTCTTGCTTTCATCTAGACGTCTAGACGAGTTCAGTGAAATGGCACAGCAGTTTTAAATGTTGGACTATTTTTTTATTGGACATGCCATCTTAAAAATGCAACTTGTGGCGAAATTCTCAAAAATGCATTTGGCTGTAACAGTGGTGCTTTAATGGAGATCCATTTGAAAGGTATAACTTTTCCAGAAGGTTTTTACTCTGCAAACTTTTTAACCGCTTAAGTACAACATGCTAAATAAAGAGCTATTGCTAAAGATATAAAAATGAATTCAGTCGACCCTAGTAATCAACTAGTCAATTGACCATTGTGACCCATTCTTATTGGTACAGTAGCTGAAAGAATGATCAAATGAGCTAAAATATTTATTTAAAAAACATGCAAGGGTGTCAGATGTATAGAACTTTCTGAAGAGTTCTGCACACAGATTTTCTGTGGGCTTACAGCTCATTATCAGTAGGGAACTTCAAGCAGAGGATGTTTCTGGTTTCTGTACTGAATATTTTAGATTAACCTCTCCTTTCTTTTTTCTTTTTTTTCTCTCTCACCTTAAAATGCACATACGGTGTTCTTACAGCTTGCTCTAACTAGAGTCTCTAACTGTAACACAACAGTAGCTTCTAGTTTGACCCTGCACTCTTTATCATAGACGTACCCATTCATTACCACAGGGTAATGGATCTAAATCACAGCCCTAGACATCCCTTCCCATTTTTCAATTGAAGCTTAACCTCCCTTTCCCTGCTCCCCCCATCTCTCTTTACTTCTCTCTTTCCATTCAGGCATTTATTCGCCCGTTCCGGGAGCACCACATTGATCCGACGGCTATCACACGGCATGACTTCATAGAGACTAATGGAGACAACTGCATGATCACCATCCTGCCTCTGGCCCACATGGCCTATAAATTCCTCTCCTACCCACCAGGTACACACACACATCCACTCACTGTTCCAGTGTGTCGTGAGAGTGAGTCAGCGTGACAATTTTAGAGCCAATGAGTGTGACCCGAGTGCAACTCCTTGTCCTGGAGCCGCCGGTGTGTCCCACATTCATCTTAAAATACCTAAAAATTGGGAAATCGACAAACAAGAATATTGTTTGAAAAGGGTAAAACCTTTTCAGTTCAATTTTTGCTCTGCATGGGTTACAGGAGCAGCTCAGCCACAAAATGAAAATTGTCATCCTTTACTCATGCTCACATATTGCAAAACTGTATGACTTTTTCTTTCCTCCTCATAACACAAGAGGGGAAATTTAGCAGAATGTCCTTGAGTGCTTAAATGTTCCATATTTTTTGATAATTTTCTTTTTCTTTATTTTTCAAAACGTTCACAAAAAGATTATATGCAAAATCCATGTTGAGTGGTTTTGTGTAGTGATTTTATATTCCTGTGAGACAATGTTGGTTATGATGGAGGAAATGAAAATTGTCATCCTTTACTTGTGCTTATGTTATTCCAAACCTGCATGACGTTGTTTCCTCCTTATATCATGAGGAGAAATTTAGAGGAACGACTCGATTGCTTTAATTTTCCTTAAAGTAATTTAAAATTCTGTTTTGTTTATTACACAAAACTATCATATGAATTCATAAGACTTTGAATACTTCAAACACAAGTTGTGTAGACCACCTTAATGGTCCTTTTTTTCAATTTTTTGGAGCGCAACAGCATCCATCCCATCCCAGTTATGGTTTCCAATCATTCTTGTTTAAAAAACATGAAAGTAAATGGTGACAGAATGTTCCAAAATGGATAAAATTCCATGAATTCAATTAAAAGGTCAATTTGATTTGATGTTTCTCATGGTAAAGGGTAAGGCTAGTACTTTACTACAGGGTTAGGGCATGTCGTAATAATTTGCATATCATTTTCTCTCTCTCTCTCTCCACCTTTTGCCATTGCTCCTTTATCTCTCCATACACCTCACTATCTCTCTTTCCCAGATGCCCTTGCAGAGTCCTACCCCTGGGAATGTTTTGTTTTTGCGTTGGCGGTTTTTGTAACCATGACTAATCAGATCCACAAGTGGTCCCACTCCTACTTCGGCCTGCCACGCTGGGTCACACTACTGCAGGACTGCCACCTAGTGCTGCCACGGAAACACCACCGGATCCATCATGTGTCGCCACATGAGACGTACTACTGCATCACCACAGGTACACACTCGTGCTTCACTTGATGAGGTGGAAGCCTTGTGTTAGTGTTGTCTTAGAGGCATAGTTCACCCAAAAATATGACAATTTTGTAATTATTTACTCACCCTCATGTAGTCAAAACATAAAAAGAGATATTTTAAAAATGCTGTCTAAAACAACAATAGATGTCATTGACTCTTATTGACAAAAACGGTGGAAGTATTCTTCAAAGTCACACAGGTTTATGTTTTTTATGTTTTTGGGTGAACTATACCTTTAAATATATCCAGAGTCCCGTAGGCATCTTTACAACAATAATACGTACTGGATCGGATTCAGATGAGGTAGGTGAACTTCCTCTGAGAGTCTTTTATGTAGTTGATCATGGTAACCTACAGTATCTGGCAAGGATTCTTCCACGGAGCGTGGCCTGCATCGCCAATAGCTGTGAAGAGTGGGTTAAAATAACTTTTTTAAAGTCGGCTGTGTGTGTTCGCACATATATGTGTGTGTGTGTGTGAAGGCATTAAACTCCCATGATAGCTCGAGCACTCGGTATGCGACGTGCGTCTCTGGGAGAGAGGGGAGCGAGGATGCTTGTGCGTCACCCTGCGCCCCAGCGGACGACAGATGTGTGTGTGTGCACGCATGCTCCAGAGCACAGACCGGTCCTTTTGACCCTCCCTCTTTCCTTTCCACTGCTGCTCCCTGATCCCACTGGGAGACGCTGATGAAGGGAGAGGAAAGGGTCTCTCTCTCTCGCACACATACACAAACGCGCACGCTTGGGTGTCTCTCTCTGCGTGAGCCCTGCTCCTCCACCCTCCCTGCCCGAGTCCCCGGGGGCTGGGGCCCGCCTTTGAGTGTGCCAGTGGCTGACAACCTCCATGTATATTTAATGCTAACCTGCTGTCAGTGCTAACAAATAGGCTTGCTCGAAGGGGGTGGTGGGGGGTGGTGTGCGTTTGACAAAGATGAAAAATCAAACAAACATGATGAGCTGTTCTGCTCTCTTCCTGCACCAAAAGGGTCACTGTTGAGAGCGGGTACAAACACACACACACACACGCAGCTGACACAGATGTGACCGAGGAACTATGTGGTGCTTATATACAGACATACAAGGTCAATGGATGACCATGTGATGTCATAATCAGGGGCGTTGAAAACAGTACTGAGGTGGTACCATGGTACTATAATGGTGTCAGGTGGAAATACCATTGATACTGAATGATTAGCATGTTCCTATACAATCACCAAGGAATTTACGTGGTACTTCAAAGAATACCATTGTACTTGCACATAGGGGTGGGCAATATATCAAAGTTATTGTGAATATCAGGATCATTTTAATGTGTTTTTGTTATTTGGCTGTTAAAGGGATAGTTTGCCTGAAAATAAAAAAACATCATCAATTACTCACCCTCATGTTGTTCCAAACCCATAAGATTTTCTTCAAACAGGAATGAAGATATTTTTTATGAAATCTGTCCCTCCATTTAAAGTCCATTCCACCAAAACGTTGACGCTTCGGAAGAAGATTATAAATGAAATCTGTCTTCTTCTGAAGAGACATTGCATACAGTACATAGAATATTTGAAATATGGTAAACGGAAGCTCAACTGTTATTGCTTGACCTGTGAGAACAAACCTTATTTGTGTATATGTAGATTTGTACTAAAAATATTGATGCTTATTATCGATGTTTCTATATTGCTGTGTAAAACTTGCTTGATTTTTAACTGGATTTTTAACCATTGTATTTTTATTCTAGTTGGTCACCCAATCACCAAAACAATCACCCTTTAATTCTGTAGCATAAAATTGAGATTTATTAGAAAGTGTAATATTTAATATATCATCTAGTCCAGTGTTTCCCAACCTTTTTTTAGTCACCCTTTGGAAATTTTAACAAACTTGTGGCACCCTACAAAATTAATTTTGTCACAATATTTGAATTTCTAACTTCGATATGATAATTTGAAAAGTATAGATATTCGGTACAACAGGGAAGAACTGCAGAATATAATGTCATACAGATATTTTTTATATTATTAAAAGTATTTTTGTCTATCAATGGTGGCAATCAGTAGGCTAATTTCTAATGAAGAGACCAATTTATATGACAGATTTTAATGTAGGCTTTTATACATATGTAAACATTATTTAATTACCATTATAACTAGCTATCTCACATATTTTTGCTTACTGTGTGTTTTTTTTTTGTTTTTGTTTTTTTACAGTGGGGTAATTTTGGTGCAGTAGCGCGCGAGAGCTTGATTTCAAACTTTGAATTGAATAAAAAATGACAAGTAAGCAGTCAGTAATAAAATAAGAATAAATAAAGAGATTAATAATGATAGCACAAATAAAAAATAACGACAGGCCTTCGAATTAAATAAATTGCGTTTTAGTTTTTCAGGTAGGTCTAACAGTAGGGTTAAGACATTTAACTTTTTCTTTTTGTTTGTTTTTTTACCAATTATCCAAATAATGTTTAGTCCTAGAAAGCTATTATTATCAGAACACGTGAGCATAACATAACGGTTAGCAGATCAATGAATGAGAGGGCAGCGTTACCAGAGTTGCCCATATACCACACCTTGTTACAACACAGTAGGGCTATTGCAGACAGAAACAATACTGTACTACATCGATGTTTCCTGTCGGCTCAATTTTTGAGTGGACTTTGCTGTTCTGATTCGCAATGAACGGTATACGAGTGGAGCACTCATATGGGCCGTGAGCGACTGAGACGCTCACGCATAGAGCGGGATAACGTGCAGAGCGTCACACCACGTGAAAGTGAAACCTGAGCGGTGAGCTAATTTTCAGCAGCCAGAATTTCGGTGCATCTCTAATTATTGGCGACATCAGAAATGGATATTATATAATAGATGCTTTTTTTGAACATTTTAGCAATTTTAAAATATTAAGTAAAAAAAAAGATTTTTTTTTACACTGCACCCCTGCTTTCGACAGACGGCACCCCGGTTGGGGAACACTGATCTAGTCGTCTACTATAGTGCATGTCCAAAGAACATTGTACAGTCGTATCATAGTCATGTTTGAGACTTTTGTTTTCATGTTTGAGACAAAAAGTTTGTGAGATTTATTGCATTAAAACATTCAAATGGTTTCCATCTTTATGATCTTTTTTAGGTTTTTAGCAAATGTGTGTGAAATTTAAAATAATGTCTGACCAATATAGGTTGTTCATTGGCCAATAACGATATCTAGAGGCTAGTGGCTGATGCTAATATCTGTAATACAATTCAGTGATCGCAAATGACTTATACACAACTTGTTAAAATGAGAAGAAAACATTCTCATGATTACATTTTCACATTTAAATAATAAATGCATTTATATCCATTGAAGAAAACTGTAAATAGAAATTGGAACTTCTGTTAATTTCTCAAGTGTACATGATTTTCAACCGATAATCTTAAAATGGCCAGATGCCTCATTATTCGGCCTGGACGATATATCATGCGTCACAGCTTTGAACTTTGTCCTGCACGTTTTTGTGTGTTAAACGTCTAAACGTGTATGGTTGAAATGGTTTTCTTGTCAAAACCCAATGGAATGCATGTCTGTGAGCAAAACAGAAGTGTGTGTGTGTACTAGTGGAGTTGAGGCGGGCTGGGGGTGGTGTGCTGCTACATATTTATAGCAGTAAGTGTGTACATTACTCTACTGCTAGTGCCTGATCTTCTGTCCATCCCCTGGGAGTCACCATCCAGGAGCTTCTGTGTCTCACCGCTTCTTGATGTTGTTCTCTGTGCCTTCCCCTCTTTCTTCCTGTCTTGCTCTTTTGTCCTTGCTCTCTCCTTTTTTGCTTGCCTTGCCCTCTCACTGTTCTCCTGCATTTCTCTCTTTTCTCTCGCTGGTGAGTTTTCAGAAAAGTGTGTAATTCAGCGAGAGGAATGAATTTGTATGGTTGGTTTTACACATCAAGCCTGTGTGCTTCACCTTTTCTTTATTCCTTTTTCAGTGTTACTCCTGTTTCAAAGTACTCTGGCATGATTGTTTTATGACTGTTTTACATACAAAATTAATGAAACAGCAACAGGGGGAAAAAAATACAGTTTTACATGTATTGCGATTTATTGATAATACATTAATTAAAATGTGATGTGAAGTTTATCCCTGTTTAATCTTGAAATTTAATTTGTGTTTCTAATTATATACGCTAATATTTAGAAGTTTAGGTTTGGGTTATTTTATTTCCTGTGACGGTAAAACAGAATTTATTTCAGTCTTCAGTGGCACATGATCCTTGTAAAATCATTCTGATATGCTGATTTGTTGCTCAAGAAACATTTTCATCATAATCACAGCTGAAAAAAATAGTGCTGCTTAATTAAAAAAAAATTTTTCAGGATTTGATTAATAGAAAGTTTAAAATACATTTATTTGAAATAGAAATCTTAACTGTTGCTTTTGATCAATTGAAAACATTCTTGCTGAATATAATTTTTTTCATATTTTTATTATTTCAATAAAATTAGTACACACACATGTATGTCCAATTTTAAATCCTGTATTTGCTGCTAATCTGTACCACTCGATTATCTAGTCTTGCATTCATATTAATAACTACTTGGAAGTCAAAAAGTGTTTGTTTGTTTTTTTTTCTCTCTTTTGGTCGTGTCTTATCTCGCCTACGGCACTAAGTGAGCCGCTGTCATTAATGTCCCTTCATAAACATTGGTGCCTGACACCCTGCTTCACTTTCTCTATTATTCTCTCCCTCAGGGTGGTTGAACTACCCACTGGACAGAGTGGGTTTTTGGCGGACATTGGAGTGGTTGATCGAGAGATTGACGGGTCAGGGACCACGCAGTGATGACATGGCCTGGGCCAAGAAAACCGAGTAACCAGGAAAACAGGACTGAACCCCTCATCCTCATCCATCTTTTCCCCCTGTTAAGGAGGAACGGAAACCGAATATGGGCCTTACCTCTGTATCTCAAAACCTCTCTCCTGTAATGTTCCTGTGTCCCTCCATCTCCCCTAAACCGTCTTCTCCACAGCACAGAACCACAGAGCACTCTTACTGCTGGGGCCTTTCCCTGTCACAGGTCTGCTACACACAAGCCATCACCTGTTCCTCCTCTGCTGGCTTCCTCCTCTGTTTTGTAGATGTCCACGCGCAACGAAATAATACAAAGACAAGATAAAGTTCAAAACGGTGGTTTCAAACTGTTGAGATAATGATAAGAGACACTGTTCCTCTCACAATCATTTCCTCAATCTCCATGTGCTTTCTCGTTTCGGTGTGTAAAATGTATGTTTTCTGGAGGTTGGGCTCTCCAGAGGACCGAAACCATGTTGTGATTTTCCCAGCATGGTTGTCATAGCGGTGCATGGAATGAGAGAAGCAATTAAATGTGGATTTGATTCCAGAAACTGCAAAAAAAAGATTTATCGCTATCTCAGACACTCTCCAGTTTCACAAAAGCATCTCGGCAGTGTTAAAACCCTCCCTTAGTTTGGACCGAAGGACGCATGGGGTATCCATTTCTCAAAACGCAAGGAAAGGGTTTTGTTGGCCAACCAGCGTGGTCAGTGCTCAGTTGACCCAACTGAATGTTGTCCCTGAATGTTTCTTACTGAGCTCGTGTTGGCCTTAAGTACTAACCCATTACACTTATTTCTAATCAGCTTACCAGGGCTTAGCGGTGATGAACATTGATTGCGCTGGTGTGTTAGTGTGACATGTTATTGATATTTGGAGTAGTATTAGCAATCTAGCTAGTGATGTCCTCCTGCTGTATCCTGTGGTACAATAGTTTAGCAACGGTTCTAGCAAAAGGTCACTTTAGAAAAAGGTCAATTTGAATCTGAGTTACCAAGCTTTATTAAAGAGAATTATTAATGGGGTTTTTTTCTTATTGAATTATATATGCACACTATTTGACCAGTGGTACTTTTCATGCAAACCTTAAGCAAAAAAACAGCCAAATACACTCCCTATTTTCTCTCTCACACATATTTACACATGCACACTTACAGATTTTAATCACAAACTCAAAAAAAAAACACTCCTGTGGATTTATGTCTCTCCATTTGTGCTGAACTGATAAATGGAGAGAATAAGGGTTTTATATAGTGTTTCATTATGGATTGATTGTCTCACGGTCTCTTACAACAGCTGCAGCTCCACAATTTGGGTTTCATTGTCTGGCTTTTTATTTTATTTTTATCACTGTACAATATAACACTCAGCCTTGTATTTGTTATTTGTTCTTATTTTACATCTCGCAGCTAATGCTTGCTGCTAGTCTGCCTTAAACCGAAGTTTTTATTATCTGTATGATTTAATAAATATCTAATAAATAACATTTGATTATTTATTGTGTTTTTTATTTGTAACTTGAGTGATTTTTAAATGTTGCTACTCATTACATATAAAAGTTAGAAGCAATAATTTAGTTCTCTTTGTTCAAATGAAACCGTAAAGCAATTACAAAGCTTTGCAAAGATAATTGCTTCAGAAATCTGCAAGGGTACCTTGAGGTGATTTAACAATGTGTCACAAGCGTCTTAACGCTTTGTTCTACTCAAGTAGAAAATGTTTGTGAGAGATTCAGGGGGGTTCATTCAGCAAAGCACGAAACTGCCACCTTATTTAATAATTTGTAACAAAGAATTGATTGGAATTAGCAATTTATGTAAACTGGACTATGAGAACTGTAAAGGATTCGTGAAGAGCTCCCTCTGGTGGCTGAACAATGTCCACACAGCTGAATGAATGATACTGTACTCTTATTTTCAGTGTCCAGCTGACTATGGCCTAAAATAATTATAGTACTGCCATGGGTAGTAAATGAATAAGGCAGATATTCAGTACCATGATATATTACTGGAAATATATTATCTGAAATCATCATCACTGTACCATAGTATCACCACAGTACTTTTTTATTATAGTGGGCTTTCAATTATCTGATCATTATGTTATGTATTTGTAGTCATTAAAATGTTGATATTGTGACTGCATAATTAACAAATGACAGCTTCCTGTTTCCTGCAGCAGAGGGTCTCTTGTGGGGATAGAGATGTTGCTCTAGATCTGCCTGAGAAAATAAAATATTTTCTTTAATGATAAATGATGTGGATTATGTAATGCGCTTTAAAAAAAAATATTCAAAGCCACACATATTGCCATTGTTATTTTACTTAGCAAATTGATGTCAAGCAGTTCAGAGACACTCTGTAATGGTGTGAAATGATTTCTTGTTTTTAATGAACCGAACCCTTGTTGTGCAGCTGGGGTAGTCTGACCTCCGTGACCTGGTGATGAGGACCGCAGTAGGATTGGGGTTTTCTACTTGGTGATAGAGCAAGGTGGCAAATGCTTCTCACATTCTTCTTTTATAATGATCTTGACATTAGTAAAAATGCAGTATCTACAGTATATAGGACAAAGTGTTTCAGTATGGATTGTTTCACATTCTCTTACAACAGCTGCAGCTCCACAATTTGGGTTTCATTGCCTTGCGTTTCTTTTTAAATCATAGTACAATATAACTTTCAGCCTTGTATTTGTTATTTGTTCTTATTTTACATCTCGCAGCTAATGCTTGCTGCTAGTCTGCCTTAAACCGAAGTTTTTATTATCTGTATGATTTAATAAATATCTAATAAATAACATTTGATTATTTATTGTGTTTTTTATTTGTAACTTGAGTGATTTTTAAATGTTGCTACTCATTACATATAAAAGTTAGAAGCAATAATTTAGTTCTCTTTGTTCAAATGAAACCGTAAAGCAATTACAAAGCTTTGCAAAGATAATTGCTTCAGAAATCTGCAAGGGTACCTTGAGGTGATTTAACAATGTGTCACAAGCGTCTTAACGCTTTGTTCTACTCAAGTAGAAAATGTTTGTGAGAGATTCAGGGGGGTTCATTCAGCAAAGCACGAAACTGCCACCTTATTTAATAATTTGTAACAAAGAATTGATTGGAATTAGCAATTTATGTAAACTGGACTATGAGAACTGTAAAGGATTAGTGAAGAGCTCCCTCTGGTGGCTGAACAATGTCCACACAGCTGAATGAATGATACTGTACTCTTATTTTCAGTGTCCAGCTGACTATGGCCTAAAATAATTATAGTACTGCCATGGGTAGTAAATGAATAAGGCAGATATTCAGTACCATGATATATTACTGGAAATATATTATCTGAAATCATCATCACTGTACCATAGTATCACCACAGTACTTTTTTATTATAGTGGGCTTTCAATTATCTGATCATTATGTTATGTATTTGTAGTCATTAAAATGTTGATATTGTGACTGCATAATTAACAAATGACAGCTTCCTGTTTCCTGCAGCAGAGGGTCTCTTGTGGGGATAGAGATGTTGCTCTAGATCTGCCTGAGAAAATAAAATATTTTCTTTAATGATAAATGATGTGGATTATGTAATGCGCTTTAAAAAAAATATATTCAAAGCCACACATATTGCCATTGTTATTTTACTTAGCAAATTGATGTCAAGCAGTTCAGAGACACTCTGTAATGGTGTGAAATGATTTCTTGTTTTTAATGAACCGAACCCTTGTTGTGCAGCTGGGGTAGTCTGACCTCCGTGACCTGGTGATGAGGACCGCAGTAGGATTGGGGTTTTCTACTTGGTGATAGAGCAAGGTGGCAAATGCTTCTCACATTCTTCTTTTATAATGATCTTGACATTAGTAAAAATGCAGTATCTACAGTATATAGGACAGGGCAGGACAGAGAATATTTTCTTCCCCTTGAGTCCCTGAATGTAGTAGAGGTTATGCAACCACAAAACAAACACTGATTGCAATAACATACTATCAAATTAGCCATGATTCAGCTGCAGAAATTCACTTAAGCTTTGGAAATTACAGATTGCACTTTAATGCAGTATTATTCCTAGAAGTCTCATGAATTTTGGAGTCTATTTAGTTTCATTTTCAAGTGCATATTTGCATTACCATTCAAAAGCTTGGGGTCTGTAAGATCAAATTAATACTTTCAAGGATGCATTCAATTGAGCAAAAGTGACAGTAAATATTTGTGCATTGTTATAAAGATTTCTATTTTAAATAAATGCTTTTCTTTTTAACTTTCTTTCCATCAAAAAAAAATCCTGAAGAAAAATGTTTGGTGGTTTCTACAAAAAGTATTAAGCAGTGCAACAATCATCAATAAGATTCTCACATATTTACACATGCACACTTGCGGATTTTCATCATGAGTCCTAAAAAAACTATGAATTTCCTGAGGGTTTTTGTCTCTCCATTTGCGCTGTACTGATAAATGGAGAGAATAAGGGTTTTATAAAGTGTTTCAGTATGGATTGTTTCACATTCTCTTACAACAGCTGCAGCTCCACAATTTGGGTTTCATTGTCTTGCGTTTCTTTTTAAATCATAGTACAATATAACTTTCAGCCTTGTATTTGTTATTTGTTCTTATTTTACATCTCGCAGCTAATGCTTGCTGCTAGTCTGCCTTAAACCGAAGTTTTTATTATCTGTATGATTTAATAAATATCTAATAAATAACATTTGATTATTTATTGTGTTTTTTATTTGTAACTTGAGTGATTTTTAAATGTTGCTACTCATTACATATAAAAGTTAGAAGCAATAATTTAGTTCTCTTTGTTCAAATGAAACCGTAAAGCAATTACAAAGCTTTGCAAAGATAATTGCTTCAGAAATCTGCAAGGGTACCTTGAGGTGATTTAACAATGTGTCACAAGCGTCTTAACGCTTTGTTCTACTCAAGTAGAAAATGTTTGTGAGAGATTCAGGGGGGTTCATTCAGCAAAGCACGAAACTGCCACCTTATTTAATAATTTGTAACAAAGAATTGATTGGAATTAGCAATTTATGTAAACTGGACTATGAGAACTGTAAAGGATTCGTGAAGAGCTCCCTCTGGTGGCTGAACAATGTCCACACAGCTGAATGAATGATACTGTACTCTTATTTTCAGTGTCCAGCTGACTATGGCCTAAAATAATTATAGTACTGCCATGGGTAGTAAATGAATAAGGCAGATATTCAGTACCATGATATATTACTGGAAATATATTATCTGAAATCATCATCACTGTACCATAGTATCACCACAGTACTTTTTTATTATAGTGGGCTTTCAATTATCTGATCATTATGTTATGTATTTGTAGTCATTAAAATGTTGATATTGTGACTGCATAATTAACAAATGACAGCTTCCTGTTTCCTGCAGCAGAGGGTCTCTTGTGGGGATAGAGATGTTGCTCTAGATCTGCCTGAGAAAATAAAATATTTTCTTTAATGATAAATGATGTGGATTATGTAATGCGCTTTAAAAAAAAATATTCAAAGCCACACATATTGCCATTGTTATTTTACTTAGCAAATTGATGTCAAGCAGTTCAGAGACACTCTGTAATGGTGTGAAATGATTTCTTGTTTTTAATGAACCGAACCCTTGTTGTGCAGCTGGGGTAGTCTGACCTCCGTGACCTGGTGATGAGGACCGCAGTAGGATTGGGGTTTTCTACTTGGTGATAGAGCAAGGTGGCAAATGCTTCTCACATTCTTCTTTTATAATGATCTTGACATTAGTAAAAATGCAGTATCTACAGTATATAGGACAGGGCAGGACAGAGAATATTTTCTTCCCCTTGAGTCCCTGAATGTAGTAGAGGTTATGCAACCACAAAACAAACACTGATTGCAATAACATACTATCAAATTAGCCATGATTCAGCTGCAGAAATTCACTTAAGCTTTGGAAATTACAGATTGCACTTTAATGCAGTATTATTCCTAGAAGTCTCATGAATTTTGGAGTCTATTTAGTTTCATTTTCAAGTGCATATTTGCATTACCATTCAAAAGCTTGGGGTCTGTAAGATCAAATTAATACTTTCAAGGATGCATTCAATTGAGCAAAAGTGACAGTAAATATTTGTGCATTGTTATAAAGATTTCTATTTTAAATAAATGCTTTTCTTTTTAACTTTCTTTCCATCAAAAAAAAATCCTGAA